TCACTTTTCTCCCTGGGTTCATGGTATTAAAGAAGCATCCAGTCAGTATCTGGCTGGTTAGCTCAGTTGGTTAGAGCATGATGTTTTGTAACACCAAGGTCAAGGGTTCGGATCCCTGTACTGACCAGCTGGAAAAAAAACAAAACAAAACATCCCAAAACTCCTTCCTTCCTTCCTTCCTTCCTTCCTTCCTTCCTTCCTTCCTTCCTTCTTTCCTTTCTCAGAAAAAGTCTAGAACATTCTTCTATGGGTGGCCCTTAATAAGCATTTTTTCCATTAAAAAATGTTTTTATGGGGCTGGCCCGTGGCTCACTTGGGAGAGTGCAGTGCTGATAACACCAAGGCCATGGGGTTTGGATCCTATATAGGGATGGCCGGTTTGCTCACTGGCTGAGCGTGGTGCTGCGCACCACGCCAAGGGTTAAGACCCCCTTACCGGTCATCTTTTTTTTTTTTTTAATGTTTTTATTGCAAAAATAGTATGAAGTTATTTTAACTAATTGAATTAACTAAAAACATGTATTTTTAAAAGTTGTTAAACTGCCTTTACAAAAGCAATATCACAATATACACATTTTTCTAACTTGCTTTTCCCATTTAACAGTACATCCTATCTATTTCTAGGCCAACTAATGTAAATCTAAATCATTCATTTTATTTTAGGTGGTGCCTGGCCGACAGGGGAGCCTTATAACACCATGACCTTGGTGTTATAAGGCTGCGCTCTAACCAACTGAGCTAACCAGCCAGCCAGTGATTCATTTTCATAGATGCTTGATATTTTGTCATTTGTATGTATCATAATTTATTCAATTGTATTTCTACAGAGATACAAATCTCTGTATACAAATTGTATACTTGATACAAATTATATATTTGTTTTGTTTTTTTTTTTTTGCAGTTTTTATCACCAGAAATAATGCTTTGATAAAATACCTTGAAATATCTCTTTACCTTGTAATATCTCTTTACGTAATGGGTTTTTAATGTCCAGAGTGAGATTTTTGAATCAAACTTTTAATAAATATTGCCATATTGCTTTACAAAAGAATCGTAACACTCACAGCAGCTATTTAAGAAAGTGTCCATTTCTAACTTTCTCTCCAGCACTGATGTATTCTCATTTTTCAGTTTTTTTTTCAGGCTTCATGGAAAGTTTATCCTTCTTTCTATGGTCTCAACCCAAGCACTACCTTAAGTTGGTGTAGTGAATATTGAAGAATAGGATGAAATATCCCTCCTTCCTGTACAAATATTATTTGTTTTATCCCATTGTCTCTCTTTACACCCCATCTTCCTACTTCCCTCAAAGCTGTCTAGGTTCCTTTCTCTCAGGAACTAATATTTTATCTTTCTTCTGTGTTCAGTACAGTGGACAGTAGTATTTAGTAATTAAAATCTTCTGCAGTTCTAAGGAACAAGGCTGAGGAATTAGGATGGGAGGAAGACTATAAGAGATATGGAGAAAAGCTGGCAAGTTAGCTCAGTTGGTTAGAGTGGTGCTGATAACACCAATGTCTGAGGTTCAAGCCCTTTACTGGCCAGCAAAAAAAAAAAAAAAAAAAAAGAGGTTGGAAAAACCAAAGTGTTTTTCCTACTCTAACTCACCACTCAGTCACTCAGCCCAACACTCCTAACACCATTTTTTGTGGGAACTGTTTCTTCAAACATCAAACAGTTCTCCAGCAGATACCCGCTGGGTGTCCTCTAATTCAATTCAATTCTGACACTGTCTACCTGGAGATAGCATCAGATCCCACAGGTTGAGTTCCACAAGACTGTCTCCATTTCAGATGCCAATCATGAGTATACCTCTGACAACTGGGTGGGTTCCCACAATCCCCATCTTGAGTATGATTAATTTGCTAGAGCTGCTCAGGAAACTCAGAGAAATGCTTTACTTACATTTACCCATTTATTATAAAAGATGTTGCAAAAGTTACAGATGAACAGCCTGCTGGAAGAGATGCCTAGGGCAAGGCATGTGGGAAGGGATGTGGAGGGCAGGCCACTTTATAGGCACCTCCATATGTTCATCTGTCTAGGAGCTCCCTGAACCCAGTCCTTTTGGGTTTTTATGGAAGCTTCATTACGCAGACATGATTGATTAAATCATTGGCCATTGGTTTGGTTAGAGCGTGGTGCTGATAACACCAAGGTCAAGGATTCGGATCCCCATATTGGCCAGCCGCAACAACAACAACAATAAAAATCACTGGCCATTGGTGATCAACTTAACCTTCAGCCCTTCTTCCTTCCCCAGAGGTTGGGGGGTGGGGCTGAAGGTCCCAACCCTCTAATCGTACCACTCTTATCACTCTGGAGATTCCAAGGGTTTTAGGAGCTGTATGTCAGGAAATAGGGACTAAGACCAAATAAATACGCGTTTCATAAAGTCACAGTATGGTATAGTAAGTGCATGGGTTTGGGAGCCAGACTGCTTTTTGACTTCTGCCAAATTGCTTAATCTCTCTACATCTCTGTTTCTCTATCCCTGCAACATTGTAGAATTGTTCTGAGGATTAAGTGAGTTAATAGAAATGGTGCCTGACACACATTATTGTTAAATATCAGATCTCATCTCCCAGGAGGCCCAGAGATTAGGAGACTGACCCATCTGGAGGCCCTGGGCTAACAAGGGTGGTCATTAGAACTTCAATATTTGAATCCAGGTATTTTGACCCTTTTGGTCAGTCTTTCTTTGTACTATGTCATAGTTGCCAGTGGTTACTTCTTGTGGGACTGTTTTTATTCATCTTTATATTAGCCACAACATGGGTACAATGCTGGCTTAAAATATATATGTATTGAATGAATGAGTAAGTGTTGTTTTCTACTAGGAAGTCTCCAAAGGGCATGTCTGAACTAATGAAACCCTCTGCCTGGGACATTCAAGAATCTTTGTAATAGGACTCCAGCCTGATTTTCTAGCCTTATCTCTCCTTACTGCCTAGTACATAGCCAGATGTTTCAGTCAAATTAGATTATTTAGATTACTTGCTATTTCCCACCTTCATGTCTTTGCCTGTTCTGTTTACTCTTCCTGAAATGCTGTACCTACCCAACCTCCTCCTGCATGTCTCCAATGCCCTCCCTTTTTCAAATACTGTTTTCTTCATGAAGCTTTTTCTGATCCTCTTCCCAAATCAGAAGGCTGTGTCTTCATCCTTTGAATCCTGTAATATGTTTTAGTGTATCTCCTTGTTGCAGGGAACCCTAAACATTTTTTTTCTTTTTTTAAAAAAGATGACCAATGAGGGGATCTTAACCCTTGACTTGGTGTTGTCAGCCCCACGCTTACCCAGTGAACTAACCGGCCATCCCTATATGGGATCCGAACCTGTGGCCTTGGTGTTATCAGCACCACACTCTCCCAAGTGAGCCACAGGCTGGCCCTCAATCTAATTTTCTTTTCAGCCACCTGTATCCCCTCAAGAATAGTTGCTCAGTGCCTCCCTAAATGCTTCCTGGTCCCTAGAGAAGCTCTTGGAAGCCCTGACTGATTTAATTCTTTGCCTTATGAGCCCCAGGGATTAACCAGCCTATTTTTCTGGACTGTCGTCCCTTTCTGTCAAGAACTATGAATAATCTGAAACTTGACAAGTTAGCCTGCTACATGTTTATGGTTGCTGGTAGAAGAGATGAGATTCCTGCATCAGAGATGAGTGATAGTTTATTACTCATAGGAATAGCAGAAGCCAGAATATCAGTATTTTTATTGCTGGTTCATCTAGCCCCAGTTACCACAGAGCCATGCAGAGAGACAGATAACATTGCACATGTGGTGGATTGCTTTACAGTAGAGGTACCCTGAGCTTAGGGAGCATGAATCCTTTATAATGAACAGTATGCCCTTTGCTACAGAGGGAGACATTATCTTTATTATACTGGACAGTAGGCATGTATTCACTTTGCTCTGAAGGAAGATACTATGTTTGTCTTTCAAAGTTCCAAAATTATTATACAAATATCTTCAAAAAGTTAGTCCAGAACAAAAGAGTAGTCAGTGCCTCACTCCCATGACTTGCATAAAGAGGAGAGATCCATGAATTGTTTTCCCACACTGTTCTTTGCTGCTCTTCTCTACTCTTAGGCTTACTTGTATTGGGCAGGTAATTGTAGCAAGCACTGAAGACAGGAAAATATATTTGTCAGTTTCTACCCTCCCTCTAGGGTAGAGGAGACAGCCTGGTAGGGTACACAGTCATGCCCCAAATACTTGTAACACAGGAAGTCCTGAGCAGTAATAAATGTGAATCCTACTAGCACTGCTCTCACTGTTCCTTCCTAGTAGAGGCTCTGCTTTGATGCTGTTGAATGAATGATCCTCCTTTTTGAAACTCTTACCTCCCAGTCAACATGACCCATTTCTTTCAGGTTTTCCTCTTACCTCTGCCTACTTTTTGGCTGTTTCCTCAGCTTGTGTCTTAAGATGTTAGTGGGCCTCAGGGGTTCATCTTTAACCCTTCGCTGTTTGGGTAGTACCTCTCCCCAATAGCTTAAAAATGGCCAGTTGTTAATGTTTTCAACCCCTGTTTAGCCCAGTTTTGTGAGCTGGATTCATTCATTCAGTACTAGGTGCTTGGGATATTGTGGGTACACAAAGATATCCATAGTCTCTGCCCTTTTGAAACTTAAAGTCCCGTGCAGGTGGCAGGCATTAATCAAATAATCACACAAAAGAGCTGTTTGATTTAAGAAGGTCAGGGAAGGAGTCCCTGAGACAATGACACTTGGACAGGTGTCTGAATGATAAATTGAAGTCAAGTTGAGATTAGAGGTTGGAGGGAGAATGCCTTTTAGAGAAGAGCTTGTGTAAAGGCCCTGTGGCAGAAGGGAAAGAGCTGTTTGATTTAAGAAGGTCAGGGAAGGAGTCCCTGAGACAATGACACTTGGACAGATGTCTGAATGATAAATTGAAGTCAAGTTGAGATTAGAGGTTGGAGGGAGAATGCCTTTTAGAGAAGAGCTTGTGTAAAGGCCCTGTGGCAGAAGGGAGCATGGGAAATATGAGGAACTGTAAAAAGGCCAGTGTGGCTGGAGTGAGGGGAAATGTGGTGCAAAATAAGACTCCAGAGGTAGGTGTGGGCCAGACCATAAAGGGCCTTATAAATATGTAGAGAAATTTTGTCTTTAACCCAAGAGATGGAAAGCTGATGCTTAAAGCAGGGGACTAATATATTGTCCTGCTTGTTTGAACACAAGACAATGTCATATGTAGAATAAAAATTCCTATTTGGAAAGAAAAAAAACCCCAAAATAATATTCATATGTCTTTTATTTTGATCACAGGATAAAAAAAGTTTTTTTTTCTGGCGGCCTGCCGGTAGGAGGATCTGAACCCTTGACCTTAGTGTTATCAACATTATGCTCCAATTGATTAAAGAATAACATTTAAAAATAGGGCAAGCTATGTAAACGTCCTAGTCTTTGGTTTTGGATTGTCGCTTTCACTCTCAGCTTATCAGTTTTCGTTTTTCTCGCGAAAGGCCTCCCGGCTTGTATCATTGGTCCAAATTAAGGTGTGGCTGTGACGATTCTAGGCGCGCCAGCGCGCTTTGTAGTCGTCATAATTACGTAGGCAAACCTGACGCGCGGCAGAAGTGAGGCGGGGGTGGTGATGGAAATAACTGGAGAGTGATTGGCTGTTTAGCAAGTGTATGTTAATTAATGTGGCAGCTTAAATTGTTTTCGAGAACTCAAGAGTATTTCAAAATGCTTTGTCGAACCTTAGTAACGGAAACATGCTCTTTAGAAAACACATACCAATACACATTTGGGAAAATAGCGTCGTAAGAAAAACTCACCAACAGTAAAATATGTGTGAGTTTCTTCCACTTCGGAAAAGTAAGCAATTGTGTGTTAAGACTATACTTTCAGGGATCATTTCTATAGTTCGTTACTAGAGAAGTTTCTCTGAATGTGTAGAGCACCGAAAACCACGAGGAGGAGGTGTAGCGTTTTCTCCTGAGCGTGAAGTTGGCATATGGTATTGCTTTATTGCAATTGCCTTATGTCGTTGATGATCGTTCTTCTCTTCCTTTAGGAGGAGATAGAGGGAGATAACGCAGTCTGAGTGGTTTCGGTTTTTCTATAATGGGGGGGTGGGGTTTGAGTAGGCAAGCTTTGAGGTAATTTGTTTGGTTTTGGTTGTGTTTTTGTTAGTGAGTTGTATGTTTTGTTTTAGTAATTATGCCGTTTTTCGTGTTCAGTTTTTGAGTGATTTCTTTTGTTGTTGGTATGTATAGGGTTGTTTAGTTTATAATTACTTACTGTCATTTACGAGGTGGTTGTCTTTTTTTTTTTCATATTTAAGTATCGTTCATTGTTTAAATTTCCTCATTGTTTTGTATAAGGGTTTGTTGGAAAAAGAGCTGAAGGTTTTCTAGTTAGGTATGTTTTAGCTTACTGTGGATTTTTTTTTTTTTTTTTTTGGTAGCTTTAGTAATATTGGGAGTTTGTTTCTTTGGTGTTATTTTTTTTCTTTTGTCGAGTTAATCTTTGTAATTTAGTGAGGTCTTTTATGTATTCTAGTAATCTGTTTACGTTGTCTTTCTCCCAACACACCACAATCTCTTTCCTTTTCTATGATGAAGAGCCATTTTAATTCATTTTGTAATATACCAGACTGTGGTGAAATGCTTCAGTGCAATTTTCTGTAAATAATATTTTTTGATGAATAAATACTGGATGGAGTTGCCTTCTACTTAATCTGTGGACTGTTATGTGTGTGTGTGGCTAACGATGGTTTTTTTTTTCTCCTTTTAAAACACCATGCTCTAACCAACTGAGCTAACCAGCCAGACTCTTTTTTTCCTTTATAAAAGACTCAGCTTTTTTTTTTTTTTTTTTTTTTGTCTTTTTGTCTTTTTCCGTGTCCGGCAATG